TCTACGCAAGGCTCTTGATGGAGGCACTCTCTGGACATATACAACCCTCCCCTCCCCTCTTCCTCACCCCTGGACACGCAGCTATCCCATGACCAAAATACTGGCCTCCGCCTGGTCGTGGAGTGGGATGTGCAAGCAGTCCCTGGCCAGGGATGCTCTCGTCAGCCTCAGGTGTTAGTGTTTTGGTCGCATGATAGCAGCATGCCTGGGTCTGCGGCGGAGGAGCAGCTGCAGGTCTCTGCAGGAAGGGAGTGAACTAGAAATGGCACAAATTGCTCTGGTTGCTGCCCACCCCCTGGCTTACAGTACTTTTTTTTTCTGGACTACAGGCATTTCTGGTGGCTGAAAATGGACATGCAGAAGTCCTGCCCTGACTTCTGTTTGTATTAGCTGGGGAAATACATGCCTGGATACAACATGGCATAATGCTGGGTCAAATTGTGGGCTGCAGTTTGCTCTGGTTTCTGCATAAACCTTTTTCAGCACTTTACAACTACCTGACCTCAGCTGAGGACGTAAGAGGTGCCTGGGTCCCAAACGGACCCCTTACAAGGGAGATACTTTACCCAGCAGGAAGACTGTCTGACTTGCTGTTGAGAAAACAGGGAGTCATGTGCTGGAATTAATCCTAGCAATTTCATTGGACCTTTTATTTCTCTTTTTCATGTTACATATAATGTCATTATAATTTCAAGTTTAGGATTTAACTTGTGAACTCTTGGGAGAAAGGAAAAGGTATGTGTTTTGCTAAGTCAGAAGCTAAAGTATTTGTATTTCTATTAAAATTATTCTTAATATGCAGAGCCTATCTCAACACTTCTATATCATAGGGGATAAACAACTGCAAAAATATACAGCATCCTATTTATTTACAATATATATATGTACATAAAAATGAAATTTCCTACAATACAACATAACTGCATAGATTTGTCTTCGGAAACATAGGCATGTGTACAATTTGTGAATTTTAGACCTTTCCAGCCCTCTACTTTTTATTAATTCATTATCTTCTTTTTTTTTTTTTTTCACAGTTTGTTACAGAAATCCTTACATTAGATACAAATAAAACATTCTTTGTGTAAGTTATAGGAAATAAAGATTTTTCTGACACCAAGGACTCTGGGGAATTGTTTAAGAAAGCACCCTGGCGCCGGACGATAAAGCCATCTCGTGGGGTTGCTGATGGAGCTGAGTACATTCTCCTGTGTCTTTTGCCTGCAGGCACTGGGGTGGGACGGTAGGACTGGAGGTGGGACACCACCACATGGAAGGAGTTTTTGTTTTGACCAAGATGCTCATTAGCCTTAATGTAAGGTTCAAACAAAGGAATGTATTCATTTAAAGATAACCATTGTTACTATTAATACTCAATATCAGAGAGAGCTGTGGTGCTTATGCTTTGTAAGGGACATGCACAGACACAACCCATATATCATCCAACCTGCATTTGCACGTGACCTATTGCAAGTGAAGCACAAGCTACGGGTCAGTGTGTGGCTCAGGAAAGGAGCCCTCGGGAGCGGATGGACATCCCCATCCTTGACCTCGCAAGGGTGAGACCGGCCTTCTGCCCTGGGCCTGCACACGGGCCAGGCACCACTTGGTCCACGTCAGCCCTACAAAAGGTCTGTGCTGGTGTGTGGATTTGGCATTGGCCCTCTGAGCAGGAGCAAGCATCACCCAGAGAGGTCACTGCTCCCGAGGTACTGTTTCCAAAGAACAATTTACTGTGTTTTCCTTAGTGGGTGTGTTTACCATTGGACAGAGAAGGGCAGCTGTATTCTGCAACCGTAAGGGTGCTTTAAGCTCATGACTATTTTCTTTGCAATGTGCTGTGGACCAGGAGAGGCAGCAAGGCCATCTTTTAAGCATCGGATTAACTCGTATAATCCTATTAGAAGTCCCTGCTTCTAGTTAGTCCTTCCTTGTCCCTCACCACTCAGTTGTTGCTATTACGCAAACGAGAATTTTAAAGTATTTTGTTGTAGCTATTAGGAGCAATTTTGCATCCAGTCTATGACATTTGCAGTGCTCACAATAGTGATAAACTCTCTATGAAAAGAAAGCATGCTACCACCTACTAACGGTACTCTGGATCCTATTAATTTAACAATAGCATTTCACTGTGCTCTTAAAATCCTAGCTAAAATGTGGGACTTGTACATCGTTGGCTACAAGTTCACTATTTCAAATGAACTGAATAACAGCAGTACATTTTAACAGATAACCTCATACAAATATTGTCATCCATCACTGATGTTGACAGTTACAGCAGGGTCTATTGCATTCTGTTAAGAATGTATAAACCTGATGAGAAAACAAAAAGCACGTTATTTCACGTTCATTACCACAGACATCAATAAACACATGATTTCTTTCCATAAATATCTATAAATATGATGCCAGTAAATGAGTCTAAGCAAAAATACCTTTTTTTTTTTTTTTTTTTTTTTTTTTTTTTTCTCCCCAGAGACCCAGAAACAAAGTCTGTTTAAAGACTCAGTATTTTGGGTATCTATTTTTCACTATCTAAGATATGCTTTGATGGCCCAGTACCTCGGGTAATTTCGCCCTATGCACACACCCAGCTCATTCTTCTCCCTATTTATCCAGTAAAACTCCAGTATACAAATAAACTTTGAAAAAGAAGGTGGCAGAACAGCAAAGAGGAGAGAGAGGGATAGTGATGAAGGAGATTTAGGAAGATGCAAGGAGCAGTCACCCAACAGCCCTTCAAGCTGAAGGAAGCTGGGTGCCAAAACACAATGGTTGGCATTATAAACACGAGACTACAGACTATTGGGGGGGGGGCAGGGAAGGGAGGTGTTGCAGTTGTGACCTTGCTGGGATCCTGTGCAGCAGATCAGACTGGATATCCTCATACTTGAAAGTCACTCCCAGGATCTCCTCTCTCACAACCCCCTGGTGCACAGAGCTGCACTGCTCATAAATCAGTAGTAGAAGAAGGATAAGGGGGGAGGAAAGCAGGAGAGCCCTGGAGCATCTCGAGGATAATACTGTACAGCATTCTCAGGTCTGAGTTAGGTTTTTTGGGATAAGATCCAGAGAGATTATAAGGCACCTCAAAATCTGAAATGTGACCCCATGAAGCCAAATTAGAGAATGGAGTGAGATGCTGGGCTCCGACTGCAGTGACCAGGGAGAGTAAGGTGTTGCAAGGGGAGCTGCAAACTCCCTGAGCTGGGAAGGTGCCTGGAACAAGCTGTGAGGAGATATGAACCAAGCATAGGTTCTTCTCACCAGAGCTTACCCGACACCTGGGCTCACAGGCTATGGTATGGACTTCTCTGTGAATAAGGGCAGGGATCAGTCCCGTAAAGAGACTGGGCAGAAAGAACTGGTAACCTGCAAGGGTTTGAGACCAGCCACAGGACAGCATGAGTGATCTGAGCCCAGGGGTCCCACCTAGCTCAGCAGTTCGTGTGTTGAATGCTGGGCTGAGGGATGCGTGGGAGGAAGGACCCCGCACCGGAGACCTTGCTGGGAGCCTGGCAGTGAAGGTCTGAGGGGCCAGGAGGAGGGCAGAATAGAGGAACCCCGCTCTGCAGTCCAGCAGAGCACTTCACCCAGAGGGAAGAAGCTTCTAGTTTAGTTCTTTCTGCTGGGCTACTCCGAGGACTTGGGCAGCCTGCGGAGTCCACTCTGCCTTGTTTCTGGAGCACAGTGGAGCATCGGGAGGTCTGGATACCTCACTGCCCAGGCTGAAGTACAGATCTAGAAGTCTGGGGTTATCAGGCTTAGTTTCTGCAGCATGAACATTCTGTATCTCAATGCCCAAATTCCAAAACTAACCTCTCTGGATGTTACCCTTAGAAACCAACTTTCAAGGTCCTGAGAAGTGCTCTGTGGTCTCAACTCTCAGTGACTTCAAGCCATGTAGGACAAGGCAATGGCAACTGAGGCAAATCAGTAGCTCACAGAAATCCCAAGATCCTGAATTCTCCATCCCTAACCTTAAAAAGAGCAAGCTGCAATGACAGGTTCCCCACAGCTGATGACAGTCTCTTTCCACAGTTACAGCAGGAGTCAGCAGTGAACCATCTACTGCGAACAAGAGGGTTGCTGCATATGGACAGGTGCGGCTCAAGCACACCGAGAGCATCGGTCAGCCCTTGGGCACGAAGCGGGGCTCCCTTCAGCCATCGGTTCTTCCAGTGGGAGCCAGGTTCATATTTTGAGACACTTTTGAGCTCACACGGTGAATGACACAAAGTGAACGTTTATGCTGCTGGCAGTGCACTAATAGAAGATGTCTGCTGAGGATGGTTAACAATCACCTGCTTAGCGTCTGAGTCTCTACGCATAGTTCTCTACACCAGCTATAAGGCATTAGGCAAATGCTTATTTTGTGGACAACAGATACAAGTTACAGTGTTTCTGCTAGCAGTAATTGAATGTCTTTTTGTTAATTGTTGTGGAGAATCGATGAGAAGTGTAAATGAAACATTTTAAATACAAAAAGTGTTTCTGTTTCTTTAAAGAAATGTTAACAGGTTTCAATTTCCGTTAGAAATCCAGTAGTTTGGCAGGGTGTGAAATCCTGCTCCCGCTGCTGTCCAAAACCCCACTGACTTCAGTGGGAGGAGGATAAGACACAAGAGAGGAGCCAGTCTCTACAAGGTATGTACAAATGAATCCCATAATGGGAAGGGCATGAGGTATGATTAAATGCATAGGTTTTGATAAAACTGGAGCTTGGTTTTGTTTTTGTTTTGTTTTGTTTTTCTGAGAGAAGTGGGGCATTAGTAAACAGTTTAATGCTGAAGAAAACACAGACTTCCTATGGAAATCCCCGAGCGTCTGCTTCTCTTCAGCTTTGAGTACTCATGGTTTGGGGTCAAGTCTAGTTCTGGTCTGGCTCCAGCTGAAGCGTGCTAGGCAGGAGCGGAGCTTATGGTTGAAGGGTTAAGGATAATAACAGAACAATGAAATTCGTGGGTGGAAGAGGGGAAACAAATGAATTGTGATGAATTTCAATGAGAGATGCTCTACATAGTCTCACAGACAATTAACACAGACTTTAGGCTGATCTGATAACTCAGTATGGGGGGGAGCGGCACGGGGACAGAGTGATATGCCTGTTGAAAAATGGGTTTGTTTTCTGCAAGAAAATACACCCATTAACAGTGTTTTCAGTACTGGATAATCGTTATTTGGATTTGATTTGAGTAAACTCACAAAAGATGGAATAGATAACAGAACGGATGGTTGCAATTTTGGTGTGTTGCAAACAGGAGTGTCTTCTTTTCAGAAGCAGGTGAACTTCAGTGGCCTTCGGCACTGCCTCCTGATTGTACCCAGTCATAGATGACCAAGGGAATGCTCACTAGGGAAAACATTATCCCCAGCGCCAAGAAAAGAGAAGCCTGGAACAAAAACAAGAGAAAATTAATGAAAAAAAGAAAATTAATTCAAGTATGTTAACTTCTCCTCTTAAGGAGATTTACAAGGTGATATATCAGAGTTATCAGCTAAAATGGGATAGCACTTCTGGTAAAGACAAGACCCATAGATAATTAAACAGATTAGCGTCATTAATAATTACTCGCTGAACACCAAAACCAAATTTTTCTCCTTTCAATTCACTTCTTAAACACCGATCATCCCTAAAGAGGATTAAGCAAGTCTGTTTTTAGGCTCTGCTCTTTTCAAAGCCTCACAGAAATAAGCACACTCTTACAATCAGATATGTGTCCATTGAAGTTCAGGCTTTTGTCTTGGGGTCTGTGGGTGGAGCCACAAGTGAAACACTGTTTTTATGCTTGTCTGCTCAGAGCAGAAAGGTCTGAGCTTACAGTGCTTCCAGTGCACACCCTGTTAGACTGGGAATACGCAGGAGTATAGCGTCTTTTCAGCTGCAGCTCTTTCTGGGGCTCATAGAAAATCTTTCCAAGGCCCATTCCCACCTGTTTATGCATGTCAAAGGGCTGACATTTCATTTAGCTGTTTCTGGTGGAAGCACTCTAAGTCTGAATTGGGTCCATTAAAACCATGAGGAATACTGCAGTGTGTTGTACACTTTCAGAATCAACACGCTGAAACAGAGAAAGCTTGCTGGGCTGAAAGGGCTGCCGAAGGGGTCTGGAGGGACACCTGCACCCTGCCAACAGCTACGGCTGCTGCAGAGCTGCCACTCGCCAGGCAGGGGAAGAGCCCCTTGCTCCACAGAGAAGGGCCCCCCAGAACACAAGGTGCCCTGCATGGTACAGCCCCTCGACCAGGAGACCCCCAGGGTAAGCAAAGGAGAAGGGCAAGCACGGCTGCCGGATGACTGAAGCAAGGAGGGAAAGTAACGTAAAGAACGTCACACATATGTTTAAATTAGGTATGCTTTGCACATTATAAGGAATGACAAGATGAAAGTGTTGTATTGCTGGGAAAGGAATGCATACCCAAATCCTCTGAGTCAACTTTGATCCATCCTGCTGTGTAATTTTTAAATACAACGATGAAGGAAGAATGAAAATCAGCATATTGGCAGAAGTGACCCCTGCAAAATTAAAAAAAAAAAAAAAGTTTTGTTAGCTGTCAGCAACAGCTAATTATTGTATTGCTGTTTATCAACAGTCTTTCATTAGTAGTACAAAACCAGGATACTGTACCTACAACTCCAAAAATATCCTTCATGCTCGGGATAAAAATGACTAACAGGTTGATGATAACCAAAAGAACAAAAGTAACCAAAACATGACGGCATAAATCAAATTTTGTTTTTCTAGCCAGCTCAAATAATGATGAACGCACCTGTAGGAAGAGAGAGAGAGAGAGTTCTCTGTCAGGAGCAGTCTATAAACCAATTCAAAGCTTCCCAGGTTTATTTTAACCAGTTCTTCATGCAGCAACAAGCACCGCATACATCCATCAGAAATGTTGGGGTCTCCGCTGTAATGCCCTTTGAAATAATCCTTAACATTAATTTGATATTTTAAAACTGTAGATATATATGCATCTGCAGTAGGCTGTTCCTCTCTTTCTGACATGTCTTTTGGGGTTCTTCTGCACTTAAAAATTAATTTCACCTCTGAGCCTACTCCAGTGAAGTCTTGTGAAGTAAGAGAGGGCCCTTGTGGATTCAATTTAAAACAGATTTAAGACCAAAAGTTATTAAATTATTTCCTGCGGGGAGAAGTTCTCCAGAAGTTAGTGGGAGTCTGGTGTGGGAAAAGACCGATCCAAGCTCAAGGGTTTTTTTGTGTAGCTGCAACATCACTGACTTGGCAACTACTGGACTGTTTTGAAGAAATGTGCCGTGTACAGCCATTACCAACTTCTGAACTGTGCAGAGTTCCTTACTTACAGTGAAAAACAGCACCGGCACTGTGAGTATCACTGCAACGATCACAGCCAGGCGCACGGTCAGGATGAGGATGTCATCTTTGCTCTGGTACTTGTGAAGCAGATCTGACTGCACATTGTCTATGGAAAAGACATTAAGATAAGTGTTCTGGCAAACAGGCAATCTGCTCACAAAAATCATTGCTTAACAACAGCCTTCTTGAACAACAAGTGATTTGTCTGCAAACAAAAGAGTATGGAATGAAACATTCTTGAGTTAAAACAGTGCTTTGAACCAAATCCTAATGATCCCATTATTCCGGATTAATCCTTTGGAGGCCTGACTTAGGAATGCATCCTAATTCAAGACAGCACATGCCTAAATCTAAGGTAATTTTCACTGTAGGAAAGACAACAGTGAGACATACACAAAAACCTACTTATATATATACATATATAAAAAACATAAGTAAAGTGAAATAAGCTATTTCTAATTGGTTCCATGGGATTTTTTTTTTTTAGTGTCAAATTACATTAAAATAACCACATGCACTGCAATGGCTGAACTTAATATAAACTACAAGGTTTTGAGCTAAATTAGTCTGAACAGCAAATAAACTTCCAGCAAAAAGCAGTGCCCCTGTTCTCAACCAAGAACAAAGCCTATCTCGGGTCAGCTCTCAGTGGGATTCTCTGACATTTGCACCCAAATCCCTCGGCAGCTACTCTGAGGGCTGCCCTGATGTTTTTTTCTCTTGAACCCACACCCCCCAGCAGTGCCTGCAGTGCAGCCCTGCGTCGGCCAGCAGCCCCAGCTGCCAAGACAAATCATGGGGGGTGCCTAATCGGGAGGTGCTGGTGATATTTTAAAACAACCTCCTGCAAAAATGTTTCCTTGGAGCTGTAATAAATAGTGCAGAGCGGGTCTGCATGTGCTAACCAACAGGAAAACCAAGTTGCTGAGGGACCTATGTGTTTGCTTTGAAACTTTTAAATATCTAGGAGCAATAACCTAAGGGGGCGACTGTTAAGCATGCCACAAAACTATACTCGCTGCCCCTTTTTTAGGCTCATGTTTTGTTTCTAAACTTAGAAAACTGATGGTAAAACCTAAAAGATCTTAAACCGAAGTCCTTAAAGGGAACTCGGTGGCCACATCTAGTTTAATATCTTTGGCACTTTGTAAAACGTCATATATTCTGATCTGTCCTGCAGCGAAATGCCTGTGCTCCCTGCAGGACACCCTTCTGGCGAGAGACCACAGGTCAACACCACCTACGCAGTGCTTGAATCCCCACCAGGAGAAAGAAAATGCTCTCCCACCTCCCTGCAGACTAGGAGTGGGGTTTTCAAGCCGGGCACATGCACAGCTTCTGCGACACAGAGCTTACTCTGCTCCTGCAAGCACAGACTGCAACTTCTGTACCGCTCACGGACTGCAGCCAGGTAGGAAGTGAAGGGCAAGGCTTACAGTTGAAGGTCTGTTTTCCTTTCAGCTAGATACACCACAGAGCCCAACCACAGTGTGACCTTTTAGGGGAAGAAAAACACCTCTTTTCTGTAATTCTGCAATGTAAATATAGTCATCACTGCAACACTTTTGAGAACACAGCAAACAGACAAGTACTATTGGTGTAAAGAAGAAATGGCCACAATAAAAATTCTGTTCTTACCCAGGTAAGGGTAGAGAAGAGGGTTAGAAAACTGTAACTGAACATAGGAAAGGTAAGGTCTTGTCAGTCTCAAAGGGAAGAAGGATCAAAATGGAGGAATTTTTATATTCCCTCTGTGCCTTTTTTGCTGCCTCTCGTGGCACTGACCCTTGCAGAAGCCCAGCAGAGCTGCACAGCTTCCACCTGCAGCCTCAGCACTGAGGAGCAAGGATGCCCGACATGAGGAGAAGCACACGAGACACCCCAGGGACTTCCTCCACCGTTTCCCCTCTGGGGGGGGCCAGAAGGACGCAGCCCCTACCTCCTCCATGGACTCCAGACCCTCGTCCTTGAGGGGCGTGGGAGATTCCCAGAGAGGAGCGCCACGGATCTGCCTCCTCAGATCCCTGGGGCAATCACATCAGAATCTCCTCCCTGCCAAAGCGAAGGGGTCCGTGCTGATTTACACCCACTTGCTCCCTGGGGCTGCTAATTTGATGCATTTCTACAAAAATGTGTTAGACAGGAGCAGTTGGATGAGAACGGCTATTGCTGATGTCACTTGCAGCATATTTGTGGTTTTATTATGAAAATTAGAACATATGACCTCAAGTTACTTCAATGCATGCAGCCTCAAGGCCTCATAATCAGAATGAGAGCCTGAGAAAACAAATATGAGATAGGTAGACCTTTGGAAAAAAATGCCGTATTTCATATTTACTTCTTTTCCTTGTCTTGCAATTTGTGGCTCACAAGGAATGGTATCATGAATGAGGAGATTGTAACAAAAAGGTCACTTGGAATAGGGTGGAGAAGACTGATGATCTTTTGGTGACTGTGAGGTAAAAGGCAAACTTGAGTTTTGTCATCTGTCTTGTAACCCCTTAATGGTCCATGGAAAAAGACACTGCTTTTCAACATTCCCATTATACTGGAACATGGGAGTAGCTTCCCGGGCAACATTCATATTTTACCCTCCTCTACTTAATAATTGTGCCTGTAGGGCACACATGTTAGCAATACAACATAATTTGTTTGTTTCTTTAAGTGAATTGATATGCATGAAAAGAGACAGGGTGCAAGACTCTGACACTGTAATAACCATCTTTTGGTGGCTAAGATGGGACGACACTCAAAGCTTTCCCACCTTCACTGCCAGTTTATTTAACCAAGACCTGGAGGGGTTAGCTCTAGGGACACAGGGAAAACATTTGGCCCTTCACCTCTGTGATGAAAGTGTCAATAAGAAAATGAAGAGGCTTTGATGGCTGATTTGGTATACATTTCATAGGACCTGCTCTCAAATCTGTCTCATTTTATGCAGATATGCATGCTTCAGTCATTACCAATGTACACAACATTCAGGTGAGGACCTTGGAATGAAAATCTTAGTGGGGCCCAGCTAATCCCCAATTGTGTTAAACAAATCGCTCCCTCATATTTTGAATACACCTTTGGTAAATACTACTTTCACGTGTGCATTTCATCCACAAGAGTAAAGGAGGAAAGGATGTGTACCTTCAGTATGAAAACATTAAGGAAAATTATTTGAAAAAGTATTTTAATATAAGTGGATGGGACTTTCCTTTCCAGCTGGGATATGCTATTGATTTCACATGTATTCCCTTTCTACTTTGATCAGTAAAGAGCTGCATACTTACCGTAGAAAGTCAAATAACCAAATATGGCAGTCATAAAGTACATCACAAACATGGCAAAAAATGAGATATTTGAAACCAACTGCATTTTTTTCTGTGAACGGCTGGAGAAAGAAGAAAAGAACACATAAAAATGGTTGGGCTGGATTTTTCAATAGCTGTTTAAAAATGTGTTATTAAGTCTTTGCATAAATACAGTAATTCTGGGGAGACACATGAATTCATTTTCATTTAAAACAAGAATTCATTGACAGCTGCACAAGGAAGAGAAGCACTGGGGAAACAGACCCTACTTGGGGCTTAAGTCAAGAAGTCATGAGACTGCCCTGTGGCTCTGTTCCCCGGCCAGACCCTCCTCAACAGAGTGAAGGGTGAAGCCGAGTGGAGAGGGACAGCTCTTAAACACTTCAGTAATTAAATTAAAAGGCCAAAATAAAGGAACAGTAAAATTATACACAGGAAAAAAAAACAAAACATTCTGAATGTTTGCAGAGAAACATTTGTGTCCCCATGGGTAGGAAATAATGAATGTATTCAGACTGCTGTAGACCTGTAAAATGCGTTAAGTGTAAACATTTCTTTTTTAGATATTTGTTCTGAAATATTATCACCCCGGTACCTAAACTTGGACTTCTAAATCCACACAGGTATGCCCTCAATAAGCACCTAGGAACCTGCTGAAGTCACTTGAAATTCGAAGCACCCAGCAACTGTCTGGGACCTGAGGGTTCCCATAGATCTGACTGACCCCAACTTCTTCCCTGGGGCTCCCCCCATAGCCCAGGACCCTATTGCAGATCCCCAGGGCCACCAGTGATGCTGCAGCAGGGCTGGACTCCAGCTCCCCGCAGCCCTGCCTGGCTGGAGGTGTCAGCAAGACAGCCATACTGACAAAGGTCTTTTAGTACAGGCAAGCCTGAAAATATTTTTTTTTCCTTGTACCGCAACAGAAGTTTAGTTGCATTGGAACAAATGCTGTTAGCTGAACACACGCCTCTCTCCTACGCCAAATAACGACCGGCACAACTTGGCTCTCCCCGTGCTGCTGTGTACTTCCAGAGAAAACTCCCAAAGTATTGCGTTATCCTCAACCTCCCGCACCCCCGCCCCAGTGGCATGCCTGGGAAGCCAGATTTCCTAGCTGACAGCCACGCTTGTTGGCTTGTTGGTTGTTATTAAAGCACATCTCCTCCGAATGGCACAAATGACTCAGAGCACCTCTGTGCTAACATTTTCCATGCAAAGGAGTTCAAAACAATTAGCTGGAAAAAAAAGAGAAAGGCTTACTCTTTAAGTTCGCTGTAAATCGGGAGGACTGATGGGTGGCACACAAAGGCAAAAGCAATGGTGGGCAAAGCATACACGGTCTGTTCAGAGAGAATTTAAGAAAAAAAGTTAAGAAGTATTTCCCCCAGTGGTGTGAAGAAATGATCCATGTTCAACTGCCTCAGCTCCCAGCTCTCTGGACTCTTCAACTGAACATTGAGAGCCTTCAAAGAAGGCAGAAGACCTGTCAGTTAGCACGTATTTAATGAAACATAGAGAGCTTTCAAATGGGAAGACAAAGTCTTTGCATTGGTCATGCAAGCACAGTCCTGACTCTGCTTGCAGAGCGCAGCTCTGGACGCCACATGGCTGCTGGTTTTGCTCCCTGGGATGGATTTCCCTGCCCAGCTACTACCACCGCTACTAGCGCACCGTCACACGCACAAGGGACGTATGGTGGGTCACCGCTACGCTACCCTGCCTTGGCATGGAGAGGGGTGCGCACCCGTGGTGCTAAGGCTGAAGTCCTGAAGAGGAAGCCCATATCCAGACTGTAAGAAAAGAGAAGAGGAATGCAGAACTTACAAATAAATTGATATTTCAAGGTACCAGACTGAGTCCCTTCATTTCCCAGGCCAACAAAAGGGCTAGGAGGGCTGTGGAGGGAGCATGCTTTTCCTTGGGGAAAGAGAGAGACCGTTATGTCACCAGGAAGTGCGGGAGGCCTCCGGGGGGGCACGTCACCCCCTTCTCCACCAAAAAAACCTGAGCATGTTTCAGTCCTCAGCGTATAGCCAAACTTCACAAATGATCTCAGCACCCAAGCACTTCCACTGTCCCCAGGGAATGGCTATGAGCAGAGATAACATGAAAAACAGGTCCTCCTGCAAGGACAAAATGAGTCCATCCCTACAAGCGTCTCTCCCCAGCCCTCTGAGAACTTCTTGCACTGGCCACAAGCATCCCCTTCCCACAGAAGCCATCCTGGGGTATGCCCCAAGCCCGACAGATTCAGTAAATACACTGGTTGCTCTCCAGTGGTCCTTCCTCACCCAGGCCTGTGCCGCCTCCTCTCCCTCACTCACAGCACGCTACTGTTGTGGAGTTTCCACCTGTGGAGATATTCAGAAGTTGCCTGGACATAGTGCTGGGCAGCTGGCTTCAGGTGGCCCTGCCTGAGCAGGGGGTTTGGACCAGGTGACCTCCAGAGGTCCCTTCCAATCTCAGCCATCCTCCGATTCTGTGAAACTGTCTTTCCTCTCGCACACAAAAAGTTGCAAAATTGATTGGCAAACTGGCCCCAAGTGCAAATCTCTGGAGTTCAGCTCCAGCGTGCCTAGTTCAGATGACCGATCCTTCTGATGTGCCTCCATCAACCCTGAGGCGAATGCTGGCACTTCCTGCAGAACAAGACTGTCCTTCAGTGCTGTCTAAAATAGACCTACACCTAAGCTGCTATCGCACACCAAGTTTTAACTTTTGGTCAGTCACATCAGATCTGGGCTATCCCCAGCTAAACAGAAGTGCTCGGATTGGCTTCTTCAACTGAAGCTAGTAAGATGAATTTAAAAAAAAATAATTTTTGAATGCATATGCTATACATGCGCATCCCCTATGAATGCGACTGTGACACCCTGAGGATAAGGTGCTTTTTAACAAGCACTACCTCCCAGCACAGCTGATGGGACCAATCCTCCTGCTCCCACAGCTACAGCCAGTTGCTGCTTCGCATTCTCTTGGAACAACATTTCCTGCAGCTGTGTGGCAATGGAGGAAAGTGTCCAGCTGAAAGGCAATCAAATTTTTGCTGGATTAGCTTTCAACTGTATGCTTTTCGCAATCCAGTTCACGATATGGCTACAGAAACATGTACTCCATCACAAAGAAGTGGCTTGTGTGCAGAAGGACAGAGGGATTACTTCTGGGCTTTGGATGTGGGAAGAGCTTACTCAGCCTCTGCTGAACTACAGCCTAAATGCATAGCTGCAGCATGGATAGTAAGAAGCAGTGGAAAGGAAAACTCTCCCAAAGAAAGAATTAGTTGTCTGGTGGTAGCTTGGGCTCAAAGCCTTAGCACACCTACTACCGGGACAGAGCAAGACCTCAAGGAGGTACATTCAACAGGGCATCTCCATAAGACTGGGCAAGGAGACCCATTGTGTGTTCACCATTGGAGCACAAGTTACATGGTGCTGATCAGATTAAGAACATGGGGTGTAGGTGCATATATTATGTGAATTAAAAATAAGTATTATAAAAAGAAACATACCTTGGAATTAAAGATAACATACTTTGGCTTACACATATGTTCATGTGCTGAGCTATTTGATAGGATAGGTGATGTTGCATTTAACTCCAGTGCACCACAGGGAATTTGAAACTTCTTGTAAACAACCTAGAATAAGAGCAGAAGACAGCTAGTTGCTAAAAATAACAATAAAAAGCAAATTAATATTAAAACATCAGAGAAATTGTGAATATCCCATTAAGTGATTCTCATCCAACAAATAAAGCAAGCTGAACTTACCACTATCAGGAAAAATACCATGCAGCTTAATGAAAATCCACTGGTATAGCCAAGATACCCTGGAAGAAATTAAAAGGAAATCTCACACAGAATTGTTTTATTAGCCATATTTTGGTTTTTACTTCTTTTTGCCGCTTCATGAAAAGTTTAAATTTATTATACATTTAATATGTATTGTGAGCTTCTGGGCAGGACAAAAGCATGTCCTGTTGGTGTGGGAGACTCCCACATTGCAAGCCTCCCAGCTTTCAGTCAGACAGATGTGAGCTTTGCTCTGACCGGTTTGACTTCCTGAGGGTCACCTTTACAGCAGTTGCTAATTTTACTTTTGAAAGGGGCTGTGATAATTGAAACAAAGCTGAAATTGTGCAACTGCAATCAGAATGTGACCCAGATTCCCTGATACAAGCCACACCAGCTGAATATGGGTTATTTTCTCAAAAGGAAGATCCCAACAGGACTCCAGTGCCAAAACTTGTTATATGGTTTCAAAAAATATGTTGTGTACCTACTGGCATCTCTGTGAACTCAAGCACATTTGAAAACACAATCCTCTATACACATCTTACTTCAAAGTCCAATACCTCCAGTTAACCTTACCACTAAAAACTTCAAGGCTGATAGAAAAATAAGTTATTTTTTGTAATCTCACAATTTGTGAACTTATTTTTACAGGCTACACATCAAATAGAATCACCTTATGAAATGAAGACCCTCTTAACTGCAATTTTAAAAATCAGTTTCCACACTTGTATGGATGAAGCTGGTCTATCCTAAGTTTAACCGCTATGACAATTTAGGCGTACTTATTCCAAGATGCTCAAAACACAGCTTGTTCCTGGACCAGGGAGGCTGCTTAGATTGCAATGAGAGCACAATTTTTGTTACAGTTGAGTTGCCAGTGTGGCTGTCAGTGGCATGATGTCTGGGCTCCTTTATTTTATTCCCACAATGGCATTTGCATCTTACCTAAGTTCTTAAGGAGACATAAAGGGAGGATTATACCAAACGTCACTGCGACAACAAGAATTCGTCCATCCACGTACCATGCCCTGTGTAAAAAAATAAAAAAAAACACACCATGAGCACACTTTAAACCCTCTCTGCTTTTCCTCATACTCAGTCATCCTCTTTAATTGCTACAGTTACAGGAACTATCTTTGGTCTCCTTACCCTACCATCTCCTACAAAAGGAGAGCTGAGAGCCACATCTAAACTCTGTGGACTCATTAAGTATCCAGCCCTTAACACACGGCACTGCTCTGACTCAGATATAGCAGATGGTTTCATAGTCACTAGACAAAATATCACCGTACTGCTGGGATCAGTGTGTGGGACTGAGAGGCAGAACAACACCTTCCATAGCCTGATATAAGCCACCCTGACAGGATGAGGCAGAATCATGCAAAGGGCCACACATACCACACAGTGGGGTGGGGGGGCCACCACAATTCATTTGCTAAACCACCTGGGCATGTGCCTGGAGCGGCAAACCAGGCTCCTGAGGGCTGGCATGCACTAGCCAGCCCGAGGCTGTATCTCCTTCTAGCAAAGTGCTTTGAATCCTGCTGGAAAGCAAGAAAGGGGGGAAGGGACAGCATTAGGGGCATCCTGTATGACCTATTTCCACTGCTTGGTCTAATTTAGTATGAAAGCCTAAGGAATGGGATCTCTGCCTTCTTCTTGGGAGCTACAGCACACCATATAACCCAGTGCAAAGGATATTTACCACTATAAAGAAGTATCACTTCTCTATTAAAGAAGCTGGTAAATGTAAAGGAGTGATAAGTCGCAGAAATATAAGTATAGTATTCTGCTGTTGTTATATGCTTGTATCGAAGAATTTCATACTACAGGCAGTGCTTCAGGAGCAAAACCCTGCAAGATGCTAAGAATGCAGGAAAATATGTAATATCTTAAACTTAAATTGTTCCCAGTATCTTCAAGTGTTGCCTAACACTGTAAAAGATTGGATCCTATGATAAGAGGTTTGTATAAATCACAATTCTGCATTAAAATCTAGTGTGCAAAGAGAGTAACTGCTGATGACTTAACCTTTCATTTCCTACCCGTCCTCTTTTCCTTCCCAAAGTTGTCATGCTTTTTATTAGCCCCCTGAGATCTTCTAGTGAAAATCTACTTTGACAAACCTAAAGAGTATCCAATACTTAAGAGCTTTTATAAACATATGCTTAAACTTATCTACACAATGTTAAATTTTATAATCTAATCACCAAAATGAATTCAACTTACGAAAAAGATTCTTCTTTTCCCATTAGAAACTTTATGGCAGAAGGCAGCTCATTTTTGACTATGAAGAGATAGCTCAACATTGCTGGAGGAGGAAGAAAGCCAGTTTAGAAAATGGATAAGATATTTTGTGGAATAAGTACAGAGAAGCATCCTGAACTTTTTCCCACATTAGTGTCTGATGATAGAACACCCCGAACTATAGTTGACTGTAAACTACTGATCATTTAGTAATACAGCATTTTTAAATTGCTGCATGCAATATGTTAGCCACAGCTAAATTGAGGAACATGAAGATGCCAAGATGTCACTGAGAGAAGGATGAACCTAACTGGTTGGTAGCCATAACATTATTGAGATATTCCTGGGTTTTGTCTTTCAATGGCCCTCATCTCCTTTACCTCCAACATTCTGAAGAGATGTAGATCCAAAGACAATCATTTTCCCTGGGGTACCAAAAACCTGCTCACCCAGCTTTTCATACACCATGCAGCCTGCATGAAAAGAAATGAGAAAGGTAACAAATACACCCGTGAAAGCTGTTGAGTCGAAACACTTATGGTTCCTTTTCAGCTAATCATGCATCTGTGCAGCCATATCTGCCCTTTGCAAGTAAATAGAGAGCTCTCTTGTAATTACTAGGGCTGAAACTTATGTAGGAATGTTTTCGTGACGTCTATAAATGTTATATTTGGCTACCAGTCACTTTTGAAATTTAAGCTCTTAATGAGTCTATTAGACCCGTTTAATGAGTCTGTCTATACCCCTAGTGACATGTTCTGTTCTTATATCCCCATCCTGGCATATTAGGTTTGGGCCCACAATGAGAGTGATGTAGAAAGTCTCCCCTTCAGACAAAACTCTGTACAGCAGGATCCACGTGTCAGCACTGGCAGCCTGGCCGCAGCAGACACAGTACCGCAATTCTGCAGTTTCACTTGCTTCGGCTAAAGGTTCTAAATGAGAGCAGCCACTAGTTTACAGGGTAATTTACAATTTCCAGTGATGAAGCCTTAACTTGTGCATTCTCAGTACGGCATGTTTTTGTGATAAGCAGGGAAAGGTGTAAATTATAACTAAAACTTCTTTTTAACTATCTGTCAAGATTAAGAAACTCCTCTATTAATTGGTTTGTGTTTCTGTTAAATGTTTTGTTCCTTGGCAGTGATTTAGGCTCAGAAAAAGACTGGACATTGTGAAGATGGCGAGATGCATGAGAACAGAAAGAGAAATATTGCAGAGGTTACACTGTACATATTATTTTTAAAATGCATCTGATTGTTTGGTTTTCTCTATATTTCCTTATAGCTGACATTTCTGCTTTGGAGCTTGTATAAACAGTAAGTTTGAGCTGAAACGTACCAGCAGCATAGAAACCAGGGCTTACATTTTGGAACTAACAGGGCAAAAATGCGTCCACAATTAGGCATACTGCCTTTAAATAGGCAGTTGCTGCCATGATACATACTATAACAGTATGTCATGTGTGTCCAAATTAAATATTAAAATATTACAGTGTTCTTGTGCACAGATAATTTTAAAAATCTGGCTTCAGAGATTGTTACCCAAGGAAAGAGACTCTTGGACTTCAGAGCACAATGACATTTAACACTGTAGGCAACTTCTAATTTCTGTTGCTTACAGATACACTTCTCTCTGGAGGGGAACTGTTCGCTCTCATTTTTTTCTAGGAAATCTCCTACTACACCACAAAGGCTATGAGGAATTCCACACTAACCATTAAGGACAAACTATTTCCAGGGGAGCTTCACCATAGGCAAAGATTCATTAGATTTTGTTTGCACTGGTTTTGTAATACAAAGAACCTATATGAGCTCTTCCTTCTAGCTCACTGAAGACAACATTTCACAGTAGCAGAATTCACTCTTTGTCGTAAGTTTTTCTCTTTATAGCAGTAGTCAGATGCTGTTCTCCATTGCCATGACATAAATTCTTGTTAATTCTGAACTTCTGACCCAAAATGCTAGGCCTTTCTATTGTGTCAGTAAGACATAGAAACTTCATCTTACCCAAAGCACCTGGCCTTATTTGAGCACTTTTCACCTCTTGCTCTTAGCAATTCTACTGAAATGGTATAATAACATCTTAAATTACCTGTTTCCTTTGAACACACCAACAGGAGATATATTGAATAAATAGACAGCAGCGTCACTGAAACCAAAAGCAGCCTACAAAAGAGTGGAAAATAAAGCTTACTGCAAGAGCTGAGCTCTAACATTGCAATATTTCATGTCAGGTCATATGCCCGTTGACTCTGAGATAATTTTTATACTCTTCTGACAATGCAAAAAACCCTAAAAGTATGTGTGGTTTACATGGTTTTTGCAGTTCCACCACACCACCCTGGAGGTAGAAAGCCCTGCACGCAGAGGAATTCAACCCAGTAAAATTTAGCAGAGCTGCAGAGCACAGCCCGCTAGTGAGTTACACCTCCCCATATTGAAAGAAGTGAGAATAAAGATGACTTTTCGGATAGAAATTAAGGTTTAATCAGAGCAGGAA